GTGGCCCTCCTCTCGACTCCCTCCAACAGCTCCATGTCCTTCTTATGTTGAGGGCCCTAGAGCTGAATGCAATACTGGAGGTGGGGTCTCACAGGAGCAGAATAGAGGGGCAGAATCACCTCCCTCGACCTGCTGGCCACGCTTCTTTGGACACAGTCCAGGATACGGTTGGCTTTCTGGGCTGCCAGTGCACATTGCCAGCTCATGTTGAGCTTCTCATCAACCAACATCATCAAGTCCTCCTCCTCAGGGCTGCTCTCAATTCATTCTTCACCCTGCCTGTATTTGTGCTTGGGATTGCATTTCTATTCAATAGCATCTGACCTTGAGCCCAGAAAATTCCCTGAAGGATTGTGGCCGGCAAGTTTTTCTGCTTTATTTTGTTTTAAATCTAAAGCCTTTTCATCTTCCTTTTGGAAACATCTCACAATTAGTTTTACATTAACAACATGCCTGCACATCTACTAGTCTTTACATTTCTTGTAAGGCGGCAGGTGTCTAGTTCTGATAAAAGTTTCATTTGGCTCTCTGACAGGAACAGGCACTTCCAAATATGTTATTTTCATCCCTGAAAATAGCCGACTATATGTGTCTTCAATTCAAGTGGTGTAAATGTGGATTGACTGCACTAACTTCAATTACATTACACTGATACGGATGAGACCAAAATTTGACCCAGAAATTAAAAACAAATCTAACTTTGTGTTTTAAAACGCTTTCAGAAAGTCTTTCCATTCCTTAGGGTTTGTTTTTTTTTTTTCCCTTCTGACCTACTTTTTTACATTTTCATAATGAACCACACTACACATTTTTTAACCCAATGCAGTAAGCAGGGAAAAGTAATTCAAATAACATGTTTGTCAACAATTCTGTAAGTTACATTTTGCTTTTTAGAACTTTTTCTTTTTGCCAGTAAATAAAGACATGTATTTTGTTTTTACAATACTTGACTGCGTTTCAACGGCACTTTGAACTAACTCCTTATCATAGCCCCCATAGTCCTGTCACATTTTTCTACATGGGGAGTTTAAAAATAAAATGTATTACTTCAAAATAAAAAACCCACACAAGCACCAAACACTTCTAAATTTTTTATTACATTGAGCAAAATAGCTTTTCCTCTATTTTCAAAACACTTGTCCTTTAGTCTAAAAAGTAGAAAACAAAAAAACCCTGAGAAAATAGTCAACACTTTGCTCCTAGTACAAGATGAAAGATAAAGCAGTAGAACTACTTTATATATACATATTCATGTTTAATGAAGGTTTCTCAAGTGAAACTCATGTTTTAGTTGAATTCTTTCTAGTCAGTTGTTCATTTTTATGCAGTGTTAAACCATCTTTTCACCTCTCTTGAGCTGAAATTAATCCAGCATCCAAGACCCATAAAAGAAGGTCAGGAGGAAATTACTGTCTTCCTTTGTTACCACTTCATTTAATGTCTAAATCAGAATTTTGAGACATAACTTTGTTAGAGAAATTGAAGAACTTTACATCATCCACAAGAATTAAATATTAAGTCCTCACACAGTTCAGGATGCTATTATTTGCTGAAGAAAACTTGGGAATGTTGAAATCTGAATCCAATACTATCAAATAGTGATGTCTAATTTACTGCAAAGATATCACTCAATATAAAACAAACAAACAAAAAAAACCCACACAAAAGAACCACACACAATAAAATAACAAACCCTAACACGCCTACCCCCCCAAGGAAAAAAAAAAACCACCAACCAAAAAACACCACGAAATCAAAACTCACACCACTTGGAACTGACTACAGTATATATTTTTAAAATACTTCCCCTCAGTTTTCCTTCTAGGCAAGCAAGACAGCATGAACACACTTCAGTGTAATAGATTACAGTATGGAAAGTGTACAAAACTGCTAAGTTTAACCTCTCAATGATCTCAAAATTCTGTTGGTCAAACAAACCTGCATTTCAGCAACATCTTAAAATGTTTCCCTATGTTTTCTGTGTTACTGATGAAATCAGCAGAACTTCCTGACAAATGATATCAGCAGAACTTCCTGACAATAATGGAATTGCAATGAAGTCACAAAAGAATGAATGAGGTTCCTGAATTCTAAAACAAGTTTGAGGAGTTAAAAAAGTTCTTTCACATCAACAAACAAAAATGGAAACATTATTTAAACCTTCTAGTGGCTAGATGTAGCACATTAACTTCACCTGTTTTTAGAATCATTTTCCTATCTAACAGGTTACTAACAAACTCATTTTTATCAAAGTCACAAGGGTTTACCCAATGGGAATCTGAACACATTATCAGTAAAATGAAAACATGAACTATCTGATCTCTTTATATATAGCTCTATATAATATATTGTATTTTATTTCACACTGATATTACTTGTTTAAAAAAAGCTTGGTATTCTTGGTATCCTAACCTTGTAAACCATATTAAATTGTGATACCTAATTTGCAGTGAAGACACTTTATGCTAATTATAGTTTATGTTTTCAAAGTATTTGTATTCTGTATAAAGGTAAGTTTATACAAACACCTAAATAACACTTAAATGCCAATATTCATGCTAAATCAGATGTTGCTGTAATAGTAAACCGTATTCAAAACAAAACGGGAAAGAGGAATCCTACATACACATCATTATACCTGTAAATAAGACCTAATACCAGGTAATACAACTGTTTACAATTAGCATGCTAATTCTGAAAGCACAGCAAAAATGAAGATTTATTTTCCAAGCTTTTCCACGTATTTCTATTCTCCAAATAACCAGAAGGACAATAAAGTAGAGAATTTCCTTATAAATGCAAGCAGCTAACATCAGTATTCTTAACTACACTGGATAAGACAAAGCTGAAGTTTCTCTCAATCCAATGCTTATTTTGTGGAAAACCAAAAGTTCTTAAACTTCAGCTTCTGCTTATTCCTGTAATTCCGTAACAGTGAATTAACTCATGTGATTAATTCTAAACTAGTAACATAACTTAAGTGTTATGAAATCATATTTAACATTATTTTACCTCAAGATACGTTCTTTTAAGGGAAATAAGAAAATATCTCACACAGGCAGACTTTTCATTTGTAGAAGGTTAAGAGTGGGTTTGGATCTGCAACAAAACTGCATCATTAAAAAAATAGGTCTTTCATATCAAGAGCCATCAGTTATAAAGACACCATGAGCAACTAGTGTTGATGCTCAAGGCTCTTTCCAAAAGAGAATACATAATGAATTCAATTGAGTGAATGGCAGGAAAAATTCAGATTGTTTCTCTGCACCTATCAGGCCCAAAAGAGATAAAAAAGCAGAAGTACAGAACAAAACACTAAGAAAAAAGTGCCTGTAGGGTAAACCAATATTTTGATACATGAATATGCACTCAAATCCAAAACACGCAAGTAAAAATAATTCATATATATTGAAATATAATATGTGTGTATAGATATACATACCTATATAAAGAGAACATAATATATACTTCATAATACTAGATGGATTTAACTATATAGGACAGAAATGTATTTTGGACCTGAAACTGTGCAGTGGAAGAGTTAAAAAAATTTTCACTAATAGCAAATTCCTGATGTCAGTACTTTTAAAAAGGTGATTTCGATACTTTTTGCAAGCTTGAGTAATTATTTTTAACCCTAGTCTGCAGAGAAACAAAAGGAGAATAGCAAATTTAATTACATGTTCAAAATCACCCCTGTTACTGTTCTAGCTGAGAACAGAAACCATGTCAAACTTTCAGTCCTGCACTATGTTTACTGAATCACACTGCTCACATTATTTTTCCAAGGTGACAGAAAATGCTTAGGAAATTCAGAGTTACTGTTACGGACTGTACCACCTACTGTACATCCTCTAGCTGATACTTCAAAGAGAGGAGTTTTCTGCCCAGGTAACTCCTCCAATGGATTTAAGCCAGCAGTTGATAATCTTTTTCAGTCTGGAGACTCCTAAAGCTTTCTATTGTACTTCCAAACACCAAACAGCAACTGTAAACCTATAAACTGCTGGCTTGGTTTTCTTAGTAACTTTTCACAGCCTTCTACAACAGCAAATTGAAAACCATCAAACAACTCACCCAAAACAACTTTGCAATATTTACCATGAGAGAAAACAAGAGAAATCTGAAAAAAGCAGAACTTTACTATAACGATTTTCTAGAGTTTGATAGAAAAAAATCTACAGGTTTCTCAAACAAATTTCTGTTAGTGTGACATGCAAGCCTTTTATGTTCAACATGCTGATTTACATTGCTGTTTTGTAATATAGAAGAACTTATGATTTTCATGCACTTCATTATTTCCGATAATATTTTACAAGCCTTTATGTATAGCAGAAAAGAACTTCAAAATCTAGTCTGACAGAGTAAAGCTTGATCACATTCATTGAAACAAATCCTTAGGTATAAGCATCAATGACGAAATTTGCTAGGGTCTTCATGGAACACACAAAAAACCACAGTCTTGAAAAAATACAAAGTAAGCAAACTACTATCACATTCAAGCAAGATCCTACTGAACTGATCTTTTCATACCTGTGTTGGTATGAAAATATTATGTATTTTCCATACATAATACTATGCCAGGCTTTTGAGGGGTAGGAGAATATGACAGTTCAGCTTTTTTTTGCATCACTTGGAGCAGAAAACAGAATTCTCTGATTTAGCTAAAACAAGAACTAATTGTGCCAGGTTCTGTTTACATATGCATGACTGCTAAACAGTAGCATCGAGTAAGAGGGGTAGCATGCAACACTGTTCAGACAGTCTAATGACACCCAAAACACATACAGATCAATGCCCTAATGGCATGCTCTGTTGATCCTTTTACTTCAAAATTCTGCATGTAAGGTTTAACCTTACAGTATTTGGGCAGGATAGATTCAAAAATCAAACCCAAGATATGCTAGGTTTATGTGGTGGGGTTTTGGTAGTGGAAGGGCTATGGAGATAAGGTCTGTAAGTTGCTCCTAGAAGCTTCTCTGACTCCAAGTTGGACCCACCTCTGGCAAGGGCCAAGCCCATCTGTCAATGAGCGTATTGAAGAAGGGGACAAAGAAATCTGCACCACGCAGGACCTGCAGGAAAGAGGGGGAAGGCGGGGGTCCTGGCTTCTCAGCTGCCTGCCCGGGGCCACCACCACTCAGCTGCTGACAGCTGTGGCAGCACAGCTGGGAGCATTCCCAAGGGCCCCACTCCTTGGGAGCTGGTGGGCAAAGGTCATCCTGCTGGGACCACAGAGGTTCATTGGGCTCATCAGGCCCAAGGAAGCTGCAGTAGAGAGAGAAGTGAGATCTGAGAGAAACAACTATGCAGACACCAAGATCAGAGAAGATGGAGGAGGTGTGCTGGAGCTGAGACTCCCCTGCAGCCCGTGGGGAGACAGCAGGCTGCCCCTCTGCAGATTAACAATGGAGCTGAGACCCACCTGCAGCCTGTACAGGACCTCATGCAAGGGTGGATGGCTGTGTCTGAAGGAATTCATAGAGGACTGTGTCCTTTGAGAAAGGACCCCGTACTGCTGGAGACTGAAGGTAGAGCAGAGATGCATCTGCAGTCTATGGAGCACCCCACAATGGAGCAGATGGCTGCACTCTAAGAAGCTGCGACTACATGGGAAAAGCCCGTGCTGGAGTGGTCTGATAGGTAAGGACTGGATTCTGCCGGAAGGACTCACACCAGAGAAATTCGTGAAGAACTTTCTCCCGTGGGAAGGGATCCCATGTTGGAGCAGGGGAGGAGTATAAGGAGTCCTTCCCCTAAAGAGGAAGGAGGGGCAGAAACGGGTGATGAAGTGACCACAACCACCACTCTCCATCCCCCTGCATCACTGCGGGGAGGAGGTAGAGTCGGGAAGAGGGGAGGGATGGAGGGGAAGGTGTTTTCAAGATCCGGCTTTATTTCTCACTATCCTCTTTGAATGTAATCGGTAACTAATTTAACTGCTTTGTCTCCAGGTCGAGCTGTTTTGCTTACAGCCATGGATGGTGAGTGATTCCTCCCTGTTCTTATCTTGACCCAAAAGTCCTTCGTCATATTTTCTCCTCTCCATCCCAACTGGGGCAGGGGGAGGAGTGAGCAAGCAGCTGCATGGTGCTCAGTTGCCACCTGGGGCTAAACCATGACAGACAGCAAAGTCAGAAGGCCAGACTTCCTTCCTTTTTCTGAGGAACAGATGAAAAAAGGACAAATTATAAAATTAAACAGCTTACAAACATGTTGCAAACATTTTGCATTGACACTAAAACACAGACAACTTACTCTTGCTTGTTACCAGGATACATGGCTATACTTTCTGGAGGTACATTCAGTACCTTCAGAATGCATGTTATGGGATTAAATATATGGTTGACAATAACAAAGAGAATAGTGCATCTCCATGCAAAAGCTTAGCATTCATTCTGCTATCCCTTGCAGCAGGCTCATGATGGTATCGCATTTTGTATACCACAACTATCAGATAGTTCAGTAAATCTACTCATCTTTACACAAGTAATTTTTGCAAGATTTTACCCTGACAAACATAAATTGTTTTTTTAACAGTACGTAGGAGTCGCACGTTTTTCAATGAGAGGATTGTGGGCATCTTACAGAACTGGATGTTCTGAAGCAGTGAAGAGTGTCTATGCAGGATCAGGTTCCACATTTCACCTTCGTTCCTAATATGGTATCCCCATTCTAAGCAGTAACAATTACACTGTGTTTGAAATCAAATTTTTTTAAGTATGAACCAGAAATAGAGGAAAAATCAGATTATGTTTCCTCTTCCATTCTATACCTGCCCTGCCTCAATTAAGTTAATTTTATGAGCCCCTCTCCATTACCACAGTAAGTGGTTCTATAGCTCATTAGAAGGCACAGAACTACATAGCAGAAATTGCCTTTTCACCCATCTATCTAGCTAGCTATGCTGAATAGAAGCGATCCTCACAAGAGGGAAAGAAGCAGCAGGACTGGTTCAAACTTCTGAAAAGTCCCATCCCTTCCCCTTTTCATAAAATATTATTAGCTCTTTCCTTTTCCCCCCCACCTTCCCTACTTAAACATTTCTCCTATCTTCATACTGAGACGAAGGAAAGTGTCTGCAGGATGAAGGCTCTCTTACTAGGAAGGAAGGTGCCAAGACCAGTCAGAGTAGACATGCAAGTTTCCCCCTTGAACTCATGGCATTTTTCTGTAGACTTCTAGAAGACCCTGAGAACTTTCAGCTTCTAGGTGAAACACATGGAACAGGCACTTAGTATTGCTTGATTTTTTTTGAATTCACAACTTGTTCATCCTAGTTTCTACCATTTCCTGCTTCCTTCTCAGAAAGACAAGTAGCTTGTGTACTATTACTTAAGACTGAACCAAGCCTTCTGAACTTTAACAATAAGGGGAAATCATTAAAAAAATAATACATACACATATTATCTAGAGAACACATCAACTCAGGCTTGTGAGTCCTGCATGTCTATAGTCGGCATTTCAACTGATTCTGACTGAAAGACATACTACTCTTCCAGCAGTAGGACAGACATCAGACTTCACAGGAAAAGTGGGACTTTCAGCAGATTTACTGGTAAGCTGTGAAGTTGTCTCTGATCCAGGATTTGAAAGTGATATGAAGCATTAATTGAAACAGAGAGGAACCTCCTGCGCGAAAGCAAAGCACATATAAGGTGCCACATAAAACTACTGAAGCCAAGTAGAATATGGCGAAAACTTTTCCCAGGAAACTTGTACATATTCAGCTAACTATCAAACAGTTTAAAAAAAATAAAATTAAAAAAAATTAAAAAAGCCACTGAATATTTAAGAAGCAAAAGGAAACTGATAAACAATATTTTGTATGTGAATTAACTATTAGTTTTTACTAAACACCAAAACAGATATTTTACATTATTTTTATTTTAACTCTGAGCTTAGCAGTTTATTCCATTTACCCCACACTTCAGAACAAATCATTGATGGTAGAGCTGCACAAAAACATATGCAGATAAAAATGTGCATTATCACATCAGTGTTTTGGTTACAAGCACAATTTTATCAAATATACCAAATGCAAAGAGAAAAAAATATTAAACCAACAATATTATCAACTGCATCATCTGAACAGCCGTTTGCATGGGAACAGCTTAAATGCCTTAAGGGGAAGCCACCTGTCTCCTCTGGTGAGCTTGGCAAATACGGTTCATATGCAACAGTTGTATCCCTATCTCGTTTGACATCTGGTTATCATCAATGGCCCATAGGTGGAAGGTAAATTTCCTCTGTACCACACTCTTATGAGGATGCAACACAGCATTATCAGAAGGCACACTTCTGTATTTATGTACTTTCCTTCTAGCTGTATCTAAGAAAGAATTAGCAAGGACTATTCCCAATTTATGTTTACATTAATATAGTGATACAGTCTTAGAAATATTTTTCAACAACACTGGTATAACAGAAGTCACTCTCTACAAAAGTAGTTTCCCTAAACCAGTTCTGCTATAACTGTCTGAATATTAACCACGTTCTTGACTTTCTCCAGATAATGACACCATTCAAAACTTGACATATCATGATTTTTAAATGTGTTTGCTCTTCTTTGTTTTAGTGATAGAATGCCACAGATACTTTCATATAGAGAAAAGAAAGTGGTAGACGTCAAAGATCTCAGAAGAGTATATTTATTCCCACTGTAGGAAAAGTCACATGCTTTTTCATAATATCTGAATAGATTTTACAAGCATGGCCATCTATCTAGAGACCATGGAAGCCACTGCAGCACAGCAGAAAGTTTCTGGATAACATTACAGTAGGTAACTCGTATAGCAGCAGCTATAAGCTGACTGAAACACCACAAACACAGGGTAGATGAGACTACGCTGAGATCTGGCTTACAAAAAGAAGGCTTTTAAAAATTTGTAAGTTTAATTAAAATAAATATTTATGAGTTGTATGTGTGATTTATACACTTAATTTTCTATTTCTCCATTTTCTGAGCTAAGAATTCAAATGCAAGCTTTCAAGTCCAATTAAGTCCAGTTTTCACTATAGTTCATGTCATTCTTTTATGAAGCATACTGTTTAACTTTTATTTGATTTTAGCATGTACATCTACCTTACACTCACCTAACCCATCTCTACATAGCATTATCTAAAACTGGTAAAATTGAGGAGAAAAAATACTATCTATGTTTGATTAGTCACACATTTCATGAGAGACTTAACAGAAAAGAAAGTTTAAGGTTGGCATATATTAACATTAAAAGCAAGCTCATGGAGAAAGACTTGAAGTCAGTCACGTTTCTTCCCATATTACAATGTCATAGCTGATAATAAAATAACTTCTTGGTCCTAGATATGGCCTCATAATGAGAAACTAGCATGTCCTTACTATTTTAGTTTAATCACTAAATATTTTTTTCAGGGTTTTTTTTTTTTTTAATAAGACAAGAACCACTGAAATTACAGCAGTTTCACAAAACACAAGGTAGCTATCTTAAAGGTGTAGTGACGACCAGAAATGCCACATTGCAGAATAGAAAGTCCAACGCTAAGGAAATACATACACTAAAAGAACTTCCTCTCCCACAAGACAGTGGGCAGAAGCCCACTTTTTGATCTAAAGCAAAAATCCTGCAAAACCATCCTTGGTATTGTCAATAATAAATATTCAAAAAAAGAGAACACAAACTGAACTTAAACTAGCTGCAGTTACCATAGAAACCAGAAAGACTTACTCAACACTTCCTACTCTATTCTGTTATCACTCAGTATCTCATGAACTCAAATGGAGAAGCATTGTTCCTATTCCTATGGAAACCCTGGAAATAACCCACGTCATTGTCACAGGAGATTAAAGCAATCTAGAACACATCTCATGGATTCATTTATGTGCCACCAAGGCCTATGAAAGATTAAAAATAACTAAACTAAACAGACAAAGTCTATTTTTCAAGAGAGGAGCAGAATCAAAACTATTCCCTATAAACACTAGGTAACAAACATTGGCAAGCAGTTTATAATCTGTGAATAATTGCAATGAATAGATCTGTATAGTTACACTAACAGACTGAAAGGTACATTCTCAGCAGCTTGTATATGGTCTTTATACAAATGCCCTAACTTGATAAGACTATGCCCTTTAGTTCTATGACATTTCTCTTATTTGTTGACCAGGATGAGGAAAGAGGAATTTTTAAACAGATTTAATAGTATGTAATCTAAAATGCATACATAACTCTCTCATCTCAAAACATCTAAAAAAAAAGTGTTTTACAAAGATTCAGAAGTACACGTATCATTAAATAAACAAGATTTATGAATATTTGAATGACTGTGCATTCAAGGTCAGATGCTTTCCTATCACTTCATTCTGAATAGATAAAAAACTTGTTTTTCTACTCTATTAATCTAAATACGTAGAGTGAGTAAACTTTTGACCTGGCAATATAAGGTATGACTGCAACCTGTAAAAAATGCCCCCCAGTTGCCTATTCAGCATAGAGATGAATCTATTCCACTCACACAGTCTTCGGAACGGGTATGGTGGAAGCTTACCCCCTTCCCATACTCTGTAATAGCTGTTTGGTATTTGCTGCCCCTTTGTCCAATACGCTTTTTGGAACCTGTTGACACTGTCTACACACTATCTCTTTGCAAAAATTAAAAAAAAAAAAAATCCAGAAGTTCACTGAATCTCAGTGAACCCACTCTAAAAAACTCTAAGTTGCTCTCTAATGACTTTCATAAATAGCCCTTGTTTTTTGGCATCTGGTTAATAACAGTTTGGCATAGCTTGTCCACCAACTTCCTTTGTGAGTGCTGACTATATCCCATACCAGCCTTTTCTCCAAACTGAAAACACCTAGCAATTTTTACCTTACAAAACAGCTGTTCTGCATCCTTATTGCTTTTGTTGCCTCTGTCCTTTGTTCTGTCACACTTAAGAAAAAAAAAAAAGGCTTCACACAGTACTTAAGATGAGGGTATATGAAGATTTTTTTTTTAAATTGTCATCTGTCTTGTTCTTAACAATGCCCAGAGTCAGTCAATTATTTCAGAGAACTATCCATGATAATGCCAAAATCTTTCCTCAGCTACATCTAGCAGTTCTAGCTTCAGAATCATGCAAGTGTGGGTTAGAGTTTTTTCCCCTAAACACATGGCCCTGACATATGTAAACACTGAAGTTCATCTGCCACATACTTGCTTCCATGGGTATGAGTGGGATATTAATTTCTACACTTTGAGGTCATCATCATGAGTGGGATATTAATTTCTACACTTCGAGGTCATCATCAGTTCCGTTGTGTTTTACTTTCTTTATCCATAAAATAAAAAT